CTGCAGGTAAATGAGTAGGAGCTTCTTTGTTTTAGTCATTAAGTTTAATTTATCTAATGTTTTTATGAACCTGTTTCTGTCAGTACAAGGTACTGACAATTTAAAAGGGGGACACAGACCTTTCTTCCTTTTGAGGAATAATTTATATCGCCAAGGGCAATTGCAGTCCACCTTTAAAAGTGGTTTGTACTCCCAGTATTGATGAAAAAGCCATATATCAGATACAAATTGGATTTCTCATTTCACTGCTCTCTCAGAATAGTCAAAAATCAATTTGTCTTACTAGGTCAAATTCTACTGTTTTGAATGAATTTGCATTTATCTTAAAGGGAATGCTATGTGCTAAAGACCAAAATTTAACCTTATTTATTACCTATTTCTCACTCTCTCATCCCCAGTGCTATGAATAGTAAACTTTCTGTTAGTGTTAACTTGTTTAGGAATTACTACATCAGTTTGCAATACATTATTTTTGATGGAGGAAATTTGAAAGACTGATTTTATACCACTGGAGTAAAAAAGAAACTTTGTTATTAAAAGCAACAAGTGCAAGAGCAAGGCTAAAGTCTCCTCTGAGGTACCCTAGGGCTGAGAGTCCAGGGACGTGCTTTCTCCCTTAAAGATACTTGAATGAGTAGCATCTACTAAGCATGTGTGACTGGGTTGTAAGAATTTGATCATCCCCTCAGCCTTTATCAAAGTTATATTACTTTACAGTTAGAATTAAACTTGGCTAGGGATGTTAAGGATAACAGGAAGAGATTCTATATATATGTAGTGAATAAAAAACAGACTAGGGATAACGTAGACCCCCTCAGGAAGCTCTCAGGAGAACTGGCTACACAGGATTTGGAGAAGGCTGAGGTTCTGAATGACTTCTTTGCCCCAGTCTTCACTGGCAAAGGCTCTGACCAAACCACCCAAGTCTTGGAAGGCAGATGCAGGGACTGTGAGAATGAAGACCTTGTGCCCACTGTAGGAGAGGATCTGGCTCGAGACCATCCTAAAAACCTGAACATGCACAAGTCCATGGGACCTGATGAAATCCATCCGCGGGTCCTGAAGGAGCTGGCGAATGAAGTTGGGAAGCCGCTGGCCATCATATTTGAGAAATCATGGCAGCCAGGTGAAATTCCCGATGACTGGAAAAAATTAAATATAACCCCCATTTTCAAGAAGGGGAAAATGGATGACCCAGGGAATTACAGACCAGTCAGTCTCACATTTGTGCCTGAAAAAATCTTGGAGCAGATTCTCCTGGAAGGCATGCTAAGGCACATGAAAATCAACAAGGTGCTTGGTGACAGCCAGCATGGCTTCACTAAAGGGAAATCCTGCCTGACCAATTTGGTGGCCTTCTATGATGGGGCTACAGAACTGATGGACAGGGGTAGAGCAGTTGATGTCATCCACCTGGACTTTGCAAAGTGTTCGACACTGTCCCACACGACATCCTTGTCTCCAAATTAAAGAGACATCAATTTGATGGATGGACCACTTGGTGGATAAAGAACTGGCTGGATGGCCACACACAAAGAGTTGTGGTCAATGGCTCAATGTCCAGCTGGAGACCAGTAACGAGTGGTGTCCCTCAGGGATCAGTGTTGGGACCGGTCTTGTTCAACATCTTTGTTGCTGACATGGACAGTGGGATTGAGTGCGCCCTCAGCAAGTTTGCCGATGACACCAAGCTGTGTGGTTCGGTTGATACCCTGGAGGGAAGGAATGCCATCCAGAGGGACCCTGACACGCTTGTGAGGTGGGCTGATGCCAACCTCATGAGGTTTAACCATGCCAAGTGCAAGGTCCTACAGCTGGGTCGGAGCAATCCCAGGCACAGCTACAGGATGGGTAAAGAAGAGATTCAGAGCAGCCCTGTGAAGAAGGACTTGGGGGTGTTGGTCGATGAGAAAATGAACATGAGCCAGCTTCAGTGTGTGCTTGCAGCCCAGAAAGCCAACCGTATCCTGGGCTGCATCAAAAGGAGCGTGACCAACAGGTTGAAGGAGGTGATCCTGCCCCTCTACTCTGCTCTTGTGAGACCTCACCTGGAGTATTGTGTGCAGTTCTGGTGTCCTCAACATAAAAAGGACATGGAACTGTTGGAACAAGTCCAGAGGAGGGCCATGAGGATGATCAGGGGACTGGAGCACCTCCTGTATGAAGACAGGCTGAGAAAGTTGGGGCTGTTCAGCCTGGAGAAGAGAAGGCTGCATGGAGACCTCATAGCAGCCTTCCAGTATCTGAAGGGGGGCTATAGGGATGCTGGGGAGGGACTCTTCATTAGGGACTGTACTGACAGGACAAGGAGTAATGGGTTAAAACATAAACAGGGGAAGTTTAGATTGGATATAAGGAAGAAAATCTTTCCTGTTAAGGTGATGAGGCACTGGAATAGGTTTCCCAGGGACGTTGTGAATTCTCCATCCCTGGCAGTGTTCAAGGCCAGGTTGTACGAAGCATTGGGTGAGATGGTTTAGTGTGAGGTGTCCCTTCCCACAGCAGGGGGGTTGGAACTAGATGATCTTAAGGTCCTTTCCAACTCTAACTATTCTATGATTCCATGATTCTACTGAAGTGAAAGAATTTTTCTACCCATTTACTTTTTTTTTTCACATTCACAAGCAGAAAAACTTAGTGGATTGAATGCTTACAACAGCCCTGCAAAACTGCGGTGCGCAATGTCGCAGCATTCTCACTCTAGAAAAGAAACATGAACAGAAATGGCAGGAGATGGCAATGAGTGTAACAGGGAAACTTCCCTTTTTGCTTGCTTTGTCCACTCCTCCTCCCCAACAGGAGTAACCCTCATGTGCCACCTACTTTTACTTCTCTTCAAATATACTCCTTAAAGATTTTGACCTTTCTCATCGCTCCATAGAGAGGAGACATTAACAGGAGAGGCATAACGACTGAAAAGTCTCACAAGAACTCCAACAGACCTATGCCAACATTACTGAACATACTTCTCTGGACGTCAACTCTCATCCTCCAGGTTGCAATGCCCATGATTCAAAAGCACACTGAAAGTCATCAGTGCCTTTTAAAAAGCAACTGGTTTGCTCTTCACTAATTTGTTTGGCATTTTGAGGGGTTTAGCAAGTTTGTAATTAGCTTGTCAGGTATTTAGAATCATAGAATCGTTAGGGTTGGAAAGGACCTTAAGATCATCTAGTTCCAACCCCCCTGCCGTGGGCAGGGACACCTTACGCTAAATCATATCACCCAAGGCCTTGAGGACTTGTGTCTCATTTTGTTAAAAGTCTGCTTACAAGAACAGTGGCCTGGCACACAGATAGACAAGACTGGGTAGAGAGGGGGTACCAGACACCTGAGAAAAGTTGCTGGCTTTACAAATATGAAAATTATAGGTAGAATAACAGCTTGTCTTTATTTTTTTTTTACTCTGCTGAATTCATAGTGAAAGGAAAAATGTACCCTTAATTTTGACTTGACATTACAGGTAAATATTTATGTCCCTTGATGCAGCACATATAAAATCTATTTAAAATCTGTCATAGGAGGCTACTGTCTGGACAAGAAAATGGCATGGGTGCAGTAATGCGACACCAAGGAATTTATCAACACAGTCAATAGCATTTGGAAATGACAAAGCATCCTGGTAAATGCCTCAATATGAAGCGTTACTTTTTTACTGGAAAAAAATAGAATGCAATATGCAATTAGTATGTTGTGTTGGTGCTAATGTATGTCATATTTTTATTTGATCTAAACATTTATTATTATGCTGCACATTATTATAACATATCCTGGGCTGTATCAAAAGAAACATGACTAGCAGGTCGAAGAAGGTGATTCTCCCCCTCTACTCTGTTTTTGTGAGACTGCACCTGGAGTATTATATTCAACTGTGAGGTCCCTAAAGTAAGAAGGATATCAACCTCCATGAAGATGATCAGAGGAGGGCTGGAGCACCTCTCCTGTGAAGACAAGATTGTTCAGCTTGGAGAAGAGAATGGTCTGGAGAGACCTTAGAGCAGCTTCCAGTGCCTAAATGGGCCTACAAGAAAGCTGCAGGGGGACTTTTTACATGGGCATGTAGTGACAGGACAAGAAGCAACAGCTTTCAACTGAAAGAGGGTAGATTTAGATTAGATATAAGGAAGAAGTTCTTTACTGTGAGCATGGTGAGGCACTGGCACAGGTTGCCCAGAGAAGCCTGGAAGTGTTTATGGCCAGGTTGGTTGGGGCTTTGAGCAACCTGGTCTATTGGAAGGTGTCCCTGCCCATGGCAGGATATTGGAACTGGATGGGCTTTAAGGTTTCTTTCAACCCAAACCATTCAATGATTATCAGAATTCATCATATGAATTTATTTGCCTTAGTAAACTAAGCAGAATCAAGACGTAGAAATAAATACACATCTCATTTTCTTCAGAGTGCAGCAGTGAATTAAAGAAAGATTGGTCATAACAAAAACTAAGCTTGATGAAAAGAAAAGGAAAAAAATTTTAAACTCTTGTAGACCATTTTCTAGCTTGATTTCTATATATAGCAATGACATTCTCCTGTTGCCTTTACATTTTTGCTTTCACTGTAACATCTCATTCCATGCTGTGCCTTTCTTACGCCTTAGTCTTGATGACATGTAAAAACAAAATAACGAATAATAGTAATTTTGACAGGGATACTAAATTACATGCCTCAGCCTTAAGCCAATCTCTAGTGATCAAAGACTCACAGCATAATGGGAAAAAAAATCTTTTATATTGAGAAAAAAAAGAATCTTCTGAAAATCACTATGAATTTCTTTTTATGGGAGTGACCAAGGAGCAATAAAGGATCTCTGCTTTTATCAATTACAGCTGTTCATTCCTATGATGTTCCTTACCAACTGGCAGATGGGAGAGATTTATGAGACAGAGACAGGCAGAAAGAAAGGCAAGCAAAGAAAGACAAAGGAAAAGATGTTTTAAAAGAAACAGGTTTAGGAAGCTTCACTTTACAGATAGGGAAAAGGAAGTGTACTACTCAGTTACCTGCAAATGGAAGCTTCTACCCTGTAACTGCTGGTAAGTTCCACAGAGTCACAGCCTCAGCAGTAAATTGAACAATTCTCCTGTAAACCAGAGATGTTTCCACTAGCATTAACACTGTCATGTTTTATGCAAGTCAAAATTTAGGGCTGTAAACTTACTCTGCAACTTAGCTTTCATCAAATAGTTTCATACTTAGAACAAGAACGACAAAAATATATCTTTAGTTTAATCATATAACTTATTAATCATATAACTTTGGGGTTTAAAAAAGTGGTTAGCCCACATGTTTATGGCATAGCTATTATATGTTTTGTCTGTACCATAAATAAGGCGAGTAATAACTCAATAACAAAATAATTCGACATTAAAAGAAACAAAATGCTGTTCTGCTACATTTTCTATGTTATCCTCCTTTCTGTAATAATAAAATGGGAAAGGGTTTCTAGAAGTGAAATGAGAAATTTGGAAGATTTAAAGATTTTTAGTAGACAAGTAAAATTGCACAGAATGTTCACTCAGTAATGTAATCATTCAAAAAATATCATTAAAAGACAGCACTGAACACTTTCACAGTGCCCAAGGAGACACAAACGTTCTTTTGGAACTGCTGGGTTAAAAGAATATTGTTATCCTCAGCAATTACTAGAGGCAATAATTAAATACACTTAATAAATTCCTTAATGGTATAAAGCACTCTGTCAATGGAGTTATCTCATGCCAAAATGATTAAAGTAAAATTCTTCACTGTTATTTACTACAGTAAACCAAAACTTCAGCATCAGAAAAATAACCCCATGTAAAAAGCTAATTTCAAGGAAATTAAAAAATTAGCCAAAATTATTAAACATATTATGGTCTAAAATGAGATTAGAAAGTCAGAAAAATCTCATATTCAAAACCCCTACAGCCATCACAAAGGCATGAAGCACTTTATTAGTAATGAGATCATTATACATCCCTAAAATCTACATACATTCACTTTAAGCTGTTTGAAGAAGGCTATCTTACCCTTTAATGTTCATAGGAATAAAGAATTGAAGGCCTGTGCCTTGTCAAAAATCAACATTGAAAGTAAATAAGAAATCATTTCCTGTATCTGCAGATTTTCTTTCTCCTTTAGATTCTTAAATATTATTCTTGCTCATTTTAGTCTCTCAGTGTTAGGGATTTTGATATTTCTTGGAAATGGTGGTGTTGATTTCAGTGATAGTTTATGTTACTAATATTTCAGCAGAATCTACAAGATTTCACTGAATATCAGAATCTATATTTTGTTGAGTAAACCAAATGAATAAATATTCACCAAGTGACTTGTTTGAATGACTTTCAGGCAATGAGCTTATAATGAACCATTCCCTTCCTTGACTTAGTCCTCATTAGGCTCAATAGCTAACCTGAGCAGGTCCGATTTTGAATGACTGCAACACTAATCAGAATATAAAAACATAAAATTAAAACGACTTCCAAGATTAGGTATAAAACTACAGAGGTTACAGTTAGTAGGATATAGAAAACAGTACAACCAGCAACTATTGTACATTAAAACTTCTACAAAATATAGGTGGATAAAGTTTCTACCCATGTATTTATGCAGTTTCTCTCCTGGAAACTCTGTATAAAGCCCTTTGGAGAGAAATCTATTTAGGACATTTCAATTAAATAGTCTGTCTTACTCCTATCCTGCAGAAACTTGTGGGGTTTCTTTTCTTTTAATACACACAGAAAACACCCAATACCTTGTCTCACTGTGTGCTTGGGAAGGTTGCATGAGGTTTTACCTGTGGGGCTAAACTGGGAGGAGAATAAAAGACAAACTGTGCTGATAAAACAGAAAAAAAAAGAATAAAAAAGAAAAAAAAGTCCTCATTCTTTTCATTGTGTCAGAGTTACCACATAACCAGCTTTCCATGTGACAATTCACAATATTCACTTTAGCCCTATCCTTAACTTTACCACAGAAAAGATACATCAGAACCAAAACCAACTCTCCATTTATTTTAACTCTTAGGCAGGTGGGATTGAGTTCAAATACAATCAGTAATGTTCCTTTTACCAGCATGAAATTTAAAGATTTATATGACGTTCTCCACCCTCTCCTCCAGTCTTTCACATATATAGGCATTTTTAAAATAACATGAGCTATTTGAAAATCTCTTGCAAAGACAAAGCATATTAAAATAGATATATCAACACCAGTTCACTTCCATGAATATCATCCTTTCGTGGAACCTGTTGTTTTACTGTGTCTAAAAGAAACCCACTTCAGGAGTTTCAGTTCAAGTACAGATCCATCCCACTTAAAACTAGCCAGCGATCACTCCATTTGTTTTTTTCAAATATATCTATTTCAAGTAGGAAAACTTATAACATGAGGAACTTATGTAGAAATACTGACTTGTACATCTTCAGAGAACACTGATCATATTCCAAACATCTCCCACTCCAAATGCACTACTAAATATAAAGCAAACGTTCTACACTCACCAAAACAAGAAAAAAACTAAGCTGTGAATTAATTTAAAATTAATAGGTATCAGATAGCTAGACAGATAGCTATAGACATGGAAAAAATATTTAAAATTGTAATTTAACTATAGAAAAAGTTCTTATATAAAAAGCAGCAGAGACAGAAGGTCTGAAGATTTTTTCACTTACTACTGGTGGTTACATTTCTTTTACCTTTATCATTTTACTTTCAGAGGAAGTTGGCATAAAAAATTTGGAATATGTTTTTGAGTATGTAATGTATTAGTTCAATATATTTGTCCAGCTGCAGATGCCAATTAGCATTTCTTCGTTATTTCCTACTTCTCATAATCTCCTTTTACTGTCATTGCAAATAATGGCCAACGTATAATGGAACAAATTCTCAGACTATTAAGTCCCAGATGAAATGGGGAAAAAAAAAGAAGGTGTAACTGAATACAAACCACATAGAATTAAGTTAATGGGAATAGGCATCTTCTGAAAACTTGAAAAACTTTATTGTTGATTCAGTTTCAGCTTTTCCTTCAATAACTGTACGTAAGGAAGAAATAAACTGATCTGACATTTAAAGACACAAAAAAACAAAATTCCAAGGTCTGAAGTTCTACTGGCTCAGTAAGCAAGATTAGTTCAAGATAATTAAATGTGTAATTTTCTACAACTACCATGAGGAACGACAGTATTTTGAAATTACCATTTGCAGTGGTTTCTGATCCTGCAACATTGCTTCTCGGTAGGTAAGAAATTAATTCTTCCTTCTCTCTTTTACTTAACTACTTCTGTTCACCTAATGTAAAAAAAACAAACAACCACCCCCCAAAAAAAACTGAAAAAGAAAACAACCACCCCACAACAAGATAAAGAACAAAAAATCCTAATGACAGAATACCCTCTAACTTTTCTGATGAAAATATTCTAAAGTGTCAACATGAGTCCATTAAAAATTGAACAAAGCAAAAATCATTTCAGTAACATTCTTGATGGCATGAAAATTAAAGTAATTGAGAAAAGACTATTATTCCCTATAGAAACAAAAAAGACTTTAAACCATTTAGAATAGAAATACAGTCAAAGCAAAGGTTTAATTTTAGTACTCATAATTATGGTAAAAAGATACAATACTCTGTAATAAAATATTTTGTAGGAAGTTTCTCCCCTTAGTTACCACTAAAAACCCTGTATCTTCCTTCCTTCATATCATCCGGCTTTCAAAAGTATCAAGTCAAGCATTGCCAAACTTCTATGAGGTTCAGCCATCTATCTTTTGTTAAGTCCCTTGGAACCAGCAGGTTACTGGGAAAAACTTCATCAGACTGGGACAAAAGCCATACAGTGCTGCACATGTTTACAGATATTTTAGTCCCAGAAGCTTTCTCACAAGTGACATTGGGATAATTGGAGGTATTTGTCAGCATATCCTAAATAAACTGGTTTGCTACATTTTAAATATTCTAATATCTTACAGCCTGTGATAATGAAATAAAACAGAATATAAAGCTGAAGATATGAAAGATATTTTAACCTGGGACTCAACTTCTATTGTTTGGTATAACCAGGACTGAGATATGAGCTTCTACCACCTCTGCAGGCAGTAGATTAAAGCAGACCCTGGTGTTGGGTTGTGCAGCTGGAGAGCTATCAGCACCAACTGCAAGGCAGCCAAAGACACTCTGAAACTATTTCCACTGATGCTGAACCAAGTGGCACTCCATTATCCAGCTCTCTAGTTCCAATATAAAAGGAGCCACTTAGCTAAAGGTGTGATTTATAATATGGCCAGCAGTGAAATTGTAACCATGACATTAAAGTTCTCTGACATCTGTACCTGTTGAAATAAATGAGATGGACTCTACAGACGTGTAGTGAAGAGGCACTTACTGTCATGCCAAGCAGTTGATTAGTTGGCTGAACTCAGTGAAAAAGCCTTCTGTCCCTGAGGTCCAAGTGATTGCTGCCCATCCTACTCCAACATGTTAAAATCCAGTAGAAACCATTAAACAAGATACACTGGAGACATTTTATTTATTTATTTATTTATTTATTTATTTATTTTAACCTCACAAAAATGAATGATAGAAGGTTTTACTTTATAGAAGAGGAACAGACAAGCTGGAACAGTGAGCTGCCATCCCCCATCGGTGTGAGAGCTCCCTGTCTGGAAAAGCAGCTGTGATTCTGCTCACAGCTCTCTGCACCGAAATTATCAGAAAACAAGAAAAAGGAATGACAACTTAAGGAAACTTAAGGAAAGATGCAGGCTCACACCAAGTGGCTTAGTGATTATGCAGATGATCTGCATTTATTTTCCTTTTTTACTTTACAGTTCAGATATAAACAAGAGCAGTTACTGAGCAGGGCTCTTGTCAAAGCATTCTCCCTAGCTCTACTTCCATCTTCTGTGTCTATTTCCAGTGTGCATTAAAATAACTTGAGCTCATTTGCAGCATCAGCTCTGATCTGTAGCTACTGTTATTTTCATATCTAAAAATAATTCAATTTTATTTATAGCATTGTTTTGACTATCAAACTGCTGACATAAACCAAAATCATAGAAACAGAATCAATGACCAGGCTTAGATTATTTTCAACCACAGAAAAGAAAGTTTGACAAAAGTGATGATAAATCAGGATGACTCTGCAAGAAAGCTTCTGCAAGGTACTGGCATTTTGATTTCATTAAGAAACAATAGA